GGGGGGGGGGGGGGGGGGGCCAGGGGAGAGAGGAGGACAGGAGGCAGAGGAGGCGCGGGCACACGGGAGGGAGTGGGAGAGCTGGGAGGGCTCAGGACTTCTGCCCCAAGGGACAGCGGCTGTCCAGCAGATGGCAGTCATGGGCTGTGACGCGGGAGGACGCTGAGGGGCAAGGGACCCTGGGCTGCAACAGTAGCTCCTTAGCCTTGGCAGGATGGGCAGGTTTGGACCCGGGAAAGAGGCAATGAAAGTGTGTCCCTCCAGGCCTCGGGATCTTCCTCGGCCACTACTGTGGGGAGTCGTATCTGAAAGGGTGAGCCCGTGGGGTAGATGTGGTCGAGGGGCAGGTGGCGACTGCTCCACTGCTGGGTCTGCCATCTGGGGGAGTGGCCGTGCCTGCCCCTGAGGTGGTTCTCTGGAGTCCTGATTCCTTCAAACCCTGCACACTTCATACCCATCACCCCTAATGCCCTGGGGCTCAGCTCCGCAAAGCCACAGGTGCCAGTGACCTGGGTCTCTGCAGGGGCCCGCACACTCCCACCCTCTCAGTGTGTGCCAGTTCTCTCTAATTCTTTCTCAGAATCACCCAGTGATCACAACTGCCATTAGGCAGCACCCTATGTTCCAGGCACTTCACATAACGTCACTCAGCCCTTCTACAGACGAGGAATGAGGCTCAAAGAAGCCTTGCCCGAGGTCCCAAAGCTGAGCCATGGCGGAGCTGGGCTGAGCACCTCCACCACTCCTGCCCGCAGCTCCCTGCGCGAGGGCTGTGTGGGCACGAAGGCCCCTCTCCCGGCTCCAGGAGGCTCTGTGCGGTGAGAGGTGTGGCGCCAGGGCTGAGGCACAGGCAAGGATATCTGTACTGCAGCTTCTTGATGAGCTCCTCAGGGGAGATGAAGGTCCTGTAGGTGGTCAAGAAGGCCTCGCAGTACAACACCAGATCTGGAGGGAAGAGCAGTTGATTAGTGAGGCCTGCCACTGGCGCAGGGCACAGACAGGCAGCACACGTGCTGCAAGTACATGCCACCTCTGATTACACATTGAGAGCTTGTTTGCGTGAAGACGATGATTCAAAGAGTCTTAATCATCATGGGCACAGAGAACAGAATTCAAACTCATCAGCAGGACTCTGAACCTAAGTCACAGGTAACACCTTAGGTGGCAGAGGGCCCAGGAACAAAAACCTCGGGAATTTCCACATAGCGAGAGACCTAAGAAAAGGCCGAAGGGGCTCAGCCTGGCACGTTGCTGGATACTCAGGTGTGCAGGCTCTGGTGTCAGGGGAGGGCAAGGCCCACTGGGAGGAGGGCAGCCTGGAAGTCAAGTGGGATTAGGGCTGGCAGCTCCCACCCAACGCCTCTCCTTCCTTTTGCAGGGGCTGGTTCTAGCCAGGGATTCCCAACCTTTCCACATTCACAACAGACCCCTGTTTATTTATGGCTATGACACACCCTCCCAACCACGCAGTCTCCGACAGTAAGGGAAAAAGGGGGGGCATGTTTTAAATGCAGGTCCCTCCTGGAGACAAATGACCTGGCCAGGCTTGTGAACTTCAGAGTTATTTTGTGCCGGAGCTGAGGTTCGAGCTCTGATTCGGCTCCAAAGTCTGTGGCCCTCACCGTGAAGCTGGGCACATGCACACACATTACTTAAGTGTTCTTTTCTGGACACAGACCACCTTCCCCTGTCTTCTCTCATTCCTCCCACGACTCATCGGGTGGAGGAACCTCAAGGACCCCACTTCTCCGGCTGGGCAGAGCCCGGCTCCTGTCCCCCGCCCCTGCTGCTCACACCCTGGACAACGAGAGGAGAAGAAACACCTGCACGTGCACCTGGGGTGTGCTCGGGTGATCTGGCTGGCGGGGCGGTGCCGTGAGGGAAGCTCACGGACTGGAGGTGCAGCAGGGGGCCAGTGGTGCTGGGCTCAGACTCCTTCCTGGACCCCAAGCCCACCTAGCTCACTGTCAAATTTGGGCTTCTGTTCAAAGAGGGGCAAGGAAGCAGAGATGGGTCCAGGGGAGGGCAAGGCCCACTGGAAGAAGGGGTCCAAGGCTGCACCCCCTGAGCCATGGGGTCTCCCAGCCACTGGTGTGTGTGTGGTCTCTGGTCTGCAGGAAGCCACCTGCCCAAGGAGCTTGCTGTGTGGCCCAAGGCCTCTGCCTCAACCGCCCATCCCAGGGACAAATGACTGCAGCCTCAACATCTTTCCACTGATAAAACCGAGCCTTCTCTCCCAGGCATGGTCGGCACCGACTGGAAGGTCCTCGGGTTGCCCCGCCTGCAGGGCTCCCCCTGGCCTTGGCCGCAGCCGGCTGCACCTGGCAGGTCAGCAGTTTACTGCTCAGGGCTGAGGACTGGGGCCAGCTCCCACTTCAGCCTTTCACTACTGGACAAAAATGAGAGCATGAGCTGTTTCTCATGCCAGGCTGAGGATGGAGCTCCGACCTGTCCGGCACGGAGGAGGGTTTACTGAAGAAGGCAGAGCACGGGCTGTTCCTGGGGGATGTCAACAGATACTCCCCGAGCACTTCCTATGTGCCAACTCGCTCAGTCTTCACACCCACTGGGCACTTTGAACCTCTTCACAAAGCTGAGTCAGCTGAGGCCGAGAAGGGACGTGCCCAGCAGCGGCCCAGCCTGAGAACGCATGGCCAGGATTCAAACTCAGTCTCCAGGACCGCACTCTGCCTGGATCAGAAGAAACCCGGAGGGCAAAAGCGTGGCTGTGGTGAGTTTGTGGGAGCCATTTCCTCTTTTTCTCTAATTTTCAAATTTTCAGCAATGCAAGCAATTATTTTTGTACTACTTTCGTAATTTAAAAATTCCCAGAATCATCTGTGTAACATACTTTGGGAAATCTGCTGTCAAAACATAGGGACCAGGTTGTTTACAGAAATGAAATTGGTGGGTTAGGGTTTCATGACTGGGGTGTTTTAATTCCTACACACCTTACTTTACCATTGCTGTTCCATCATCTTTTCAATAGTTTAAAAAACGTAAAAAGGAAGTGTGTGTGGGGAGAGGCCAGGCCCAGCTGTGGGGCGTGTGCACTGCAGGCCTCTCCCTCCTGACCAAGGTCACGGCACCGGCCTTACAGCCCCTCCTTTTCCTCCTCTTTCCAGGACACAACTTGGAAAGACAGCTCCTCTGCTAGCAGAGTCCACCCAACAGAAAACAGGCCCTGCTTTTCCAGCCCTCTTGAAGGATCAGGACGTGAAGGGGTGTCTCTGCGCTGAGAGTGGGGAACCCCGTTCTGTGCAGGTAACGCTGCTGGAAGACTGGATGCTCCTGACAGGACCTTTGCCCCAGGAAGCTCCCAGAGGAGGAATAGAGGAAACCCAATCCAGCGGTCTGGAATAATATAATGGGCAAAATATCGGGAAAAGCGTAAAAAGCTACCCGCACATCAACGTAATTTTAGCACTATCGTCGAACATGTCGCTACTCAAGGTACCATCTGTGGAGCACCTGCCAGGTGCCGGGCTCTGCACCTGAAACTTGCCCCTTGATGATCCTGGGGTCCTCACTACCCTGCACCACCAGAGGACACGCTCTGAGGGGGTTGGGAAGCGGAGGGTCTGGCTCTGAATGCGGGTCACCTGTCCCCCACGTGGGCACTCCCTACAGTGACCCAGCAGCACCAGGACTGCTGTTCTGACCCGCTCAGGGCTGGAGGAGGGGAGAGGGCAGGGCAATGGAGCCGAGCGGCGTCTTGGTTCAGCGGGACCAGCTCCCTCCGGGGAGCTCGGGCACAGAGGCCACCGTGGCCGGCGCTGCCGTACCTTTCCTGTCCGTCTCAGTAGCGTGGACCAGTAGGATGTCACCAGATCCTCCCCGGACGTCTGGTCCGTCGTCGCCCTGCAAAACCACAGCAAAGGCGGGCGTGGAGCAGAACGCAGCCATAAGAAAGTCTGCTTAGGGAGTCACAAGCAGGGATGAGATGACAAAGACACGGTGTTGCAGAGACGCCAGGTCCTCTCTGCCCTGCCCTGCCCTCCCTCACTCCGGGAGCAGCGTGGCCGGGCTGCAGAGGCCAGGTGCGCCCATCCAGCCTGCCCACCGCGTGGCACAGCGCTCTGAGGACACCACTGGCTCAGGGGGGCATGGCTCCTGTCAGTCTTTCCCTGTTCACCAACCCATGGCTCAGGGCGGGAGAAGGGACGGAGGGAGTTGATGGGGAGGCAGGCAGGACCGGCACCGGCCCTTCCCAGGATGATGGTGGAGGCGGCAGACCACTTCCAGGTATGCGCATGTTCCCACAACTGCAGCAAGCTGCCCTAAACCTAAACCTGCTTCCTCAGGTGGAGGGAATCACTTGTCACATCACACGTTCTTCCAGGGAGCCCTCCTTAGAGGAGTGAGAAGTGTCACAAAGATGCTCAATTATATCCGATGTTGCTTACACTGACCGTGGCCTGCCAGTTAAGGGAAAAGTCTTATTTTCACAGGAGCAAACTGAGGCCTTAACCCATAAACCTGGCCTGCAGCCACCGGCCCCACACGCTGTAATTCCGAAGGAGACCACGCCCCGCGAGGGCTTCCTCGTGTCTCTAGCTCTTGGAGATGCACCTGCCTCTCCAAAGTTTCAAGGTTTTTACGCTGGAAGTGTCTTGGATTTCCAGGTAAGACAGGGCAGCTCCACCCAGGACCTGATTTTTCAGAAGAAATTTCTGGCAAGAGTCACGAAACATCATTCTATCTGCAGAGGAGCCAGCCCTGCCTTCCCGGTTCCTCTCTGCTGCAGCCTAGCCATGTGTGTGTGTAGAGCACGGCCGCCTCCTCGGCGGGGGTTGAGGCTACCGCTGAGAGCCATTCCTCCGTGTCCCCGGAACTGCTCGGCAGCAGGGGGCGGGAGGCCCTCTCAGGTCAGCCCCTCTTACTGTGCCGGGTTCGGGCACCGCATTTACCCATGAGGCTCTCCTGACAAGACATGGGACGGAGGCAGCCTCGGTGGCCAGGCCTGGAATTTTCTTAATTAGCTGTGCTTCCCACGCTGACACTACACTGGGGCCATTCTGTCATTAACAACATAAAAATATCTTGCACTAGCGAGGGCTTACCACACACGGGCTCCGTGCTGAGCACCCTCGTGGATTTCGTTCTCACAACACCCTCCAGAGTCCTGTCATTTGGGGCTTAGAGAGGACATGTCACTTGCCCAAGATCACTCTCCAGAAGTGTCAGAGAAGGGGACGGCACACTTCCTCCTGGAAGTCACCCATGTGCCCAGGGTCTTGGAGCACCCACGGTGGCCCAGGCATGGGGCCAGGATGAACGGGATGCCAGAACCCGCCTCCCAGGAGGGCCACCTGTGGGGGTCAGCACTCGGCTTGGGCCTTTCTGTTTGGGACACCTCCAGGTTTCCTTCTCAAAGCCCCCCACCCTCTTTCTGGGCCAGACCCTGCACACGAAGGCCTGTGAGGAGCCCACCTCTTGCTTGAGCGTCAGCCTTGCCATAATTTCATTGTGGTCAATGAGGGACAGCTCGTCTACTTCCTCCTCCGACTGAGCCTCTGGAGCATCTGGTGACTTTGGGGCCCTGGAGAGAGAAATGGTTTGTGTTGTGTCAACAGACCCTGAGCTCCACGGCTCCCGGGGGCCAAAGTAGCGTGGCCCCGTGCGCGGGGTCTTGTGGTACAGCCGCTCCCCTGAACGAGTCCTTCCCGGACTGTGGCTCCAGCGAGAAGCCCAGACCCACTTCCCACCCCTCCACAGGGGGCCTGGGAGGTGGACAAGAGGCCGGGATGCAGACTGGGTTTCTAGCTCTGCTCCTGATAAGCTGTGTGACCTGGGGACAGTCCCTGCTCTCTCCGGACACTCCATCAGTAAGTGGAAGGGATTAAGCACACAGAGCAAGAAGGTTCCACTGAGCAATTTGAAAAAGTAATGGTCTCAGTCACCTGTGTCAAGGCCCACAGACCGCCCGGACTGTCAGTACTCAAGGAGAGAATGGCAAAGGGCCAGCGGGACGGGGGAACAAGCCAGCATGATCTCAATGCCATCCCCAGGTCTCTCCCCAGGGCCACCTCTCTAGTGGACTGAAGAGGAGCATGAAGCAGGCCCTTGTCCGCGGGTGCTGGTGGGCAGCAGCATGGGCAGGGGTCCAGCCTGAGCCAAGGGCAGGGAGGGCTTGAAGATGGGACAGGCAAGCTGAGACTGAAGCGCTGAGTAGGAGTTTGGGTGAAGGGGGAGGAGAGAACCTCCAACAGACGAAGCACACGGGAAGCCTGCAGACGGGGGACACGAGGCAGATGGATGTGGGGTCTGCGGGCAACGCGCTTTCCCCCGGCATTTTCTCCCATATTCCCATCATTCTCATGATCGATCCTGTGAGCCACTGACTGGCCTTGTGGTCGCAGGCTTCATTTTTAACCCTAAGTATCTGAGACATTAAAACCTGGGCCTTTTGGGAATCCCCTGGCAGTCCAGTGATTAGACTCCATGCTTTCACTGCTGAGGGCCTGGGTTCAATCCCTGGTCGGCGAACTAAGATCCCACAAGCCACACGGTACGGGCGAAAAAACCCAAGTCAAAACAAAACAAACAAACAAAACCCCTGGGCCTTCAGTAAGGCAACATGGATGGGCCAGAGCAAAACCACGCGCAGTCCTGGGACGAAGCCTCAGCTGTGCGTCGGCGTCCAGTTGTGGCCTGGCCTTCACGGAAAGAGGACAACGTCCCAGCGACCGCTTCTAGCCAGTCAGCGTGCTCATCCTTCTGCTTCTTGTGCAGGGGCCACCTGGACTCTGAAAAGTGGCACCCCTGGGTCCAATGGAGCTGGAGCCCATGAGCTGCTGTTGTCTGGCACAGACGCCTCTGCCACTACGTGTTAGACTAGAAAACCCATCACCCCTTAACACTTGGGGAGACCTGAGCCTGGGCCACTGAATCAGACTCCGTGTGGACGGTACTGAGGGGCGGCCAGAGTAGGCTGGGCAGGCAGCCCTTGTCAACAGGCCCCTAGAGAATGCTTTCTATTTTTTTCCTGTCTCTTGCTATTTTTACCACGTCTTTAACCATTTATGTTTAGGCCTGAAAATAGCAAGTGGGTATTGCTTAGTCCTGTACCCAGGACTCCAGAAGTAGCCGAAGCTTAGCCTAAAGAGGGAGGAAAAGCTTGAATTTGTGGAGCATTCCACGAAGAAGGGGAAGCCAACATGAAGTCGCAGGTGGCAGGGCTGATTCACAGGTCCTGCACATTATCCTTTCTACCGTGGACTGGAGAAATTTACTACACATTTCTAAAGCCGGGCAGGTTTGACTCATGCTAATGTTGAAAATGTTACCAAAGATGAAAGAGACATATGACTAAATGCAGAGATGACTCCTGATTGACCCTGGTTCCAAAAAATAAGCCTTATAAGACATAGGAAGAACTAGGGATACAGACGATCATTTGCATATCAGATAATGTAAAGAATTTATTACTCTTCTTAGGTGTGATAATCATATTGTAATCAGGTAGGCATCTAAAACTTTTTAGGAGGCATGCTGAAATATTTAGGGGCTGAGCGTCATGTCTGTGACTTACTTTCAAATACACACTACATACAATTTACACACTATCTAGAAACTCACAACAAAAAGTTTGGTGGGGGGGAATCTTTTACACTCCTTTACTACATTTGAACTTGGAAGAGGCAGAAGGAAGGCTGGCCTAGGATCTGAGAAAGAAAACACTGTTGTGGGTACTGTGTAAGGTGAAGACTATGCGTGGAGATGCTCAAGAAGCAGAGGCAGCCTGTGTACCAGCAGGAAGGCTTCTGAGGGGTGCAGTAATCAGTGATTTTTCTTATTTTCTTATACGTTTCTATACTTTCCATGTTCTCTACCCTGAGCATGCATAATCTTGAGAATCAGAATAAAGGGAAGAGTGTACACACATATCTCAGAGATACTGTGGACTCGGTTCCCAGCCACTGCAATAAAGCAAATAACACAATAAAGTGATCCACATGAATTTTTTTCGTTTCCCAGTGCATATAAAAGGCATATTTATACTATACTGTAGTCTGTTAAGTGTGCAATAACATTATGTCTAAAAAAACAGTAGGGACATCCCTGGTGGCGCAGTGGATAAGAATCCGCCTGCCAATGCAGGGGACACGGGTTCGAGCCCTGGCCCGGGAAGATCCCACATGCCACGGAGCAACTAAGCCCGTGCGCCACAACTACTGAGCCTGCGCTCTAGAGCCCACGAGACACAACTTCTGAGCCTGAGCTCTAGAGCCTGCAAGCCACACCTACTGAAACCCGCGTGCCTAGAGCCCATGCTCTGCAACAAGAGAAGCCACCGAAATGAGAAGCCCACGCACCGCAACCAAGAGTAGCCCACGCTCGCCGCAACTAGAGAAAGCCCACACGCAGCAAAGGAGACCCAATGCAGCCCAAAAAAATAAAAATTAAATTAAATCTTAAAAATCAATCAATCAATCAATCAAAGTTTAAAAAGTGTTCATACACCTTAATTAGAAAATACTTTATTGCTAAAAAAAATGCTAACCCCCATCTGAGCCACTGGTGAGCTGTAATCTTTCTGGGGGTGGAGGGCCTGCCTCGATGCTGGTGGCTGCTGACTGATCAGGCTGGGGCTGCAGCGATTTCTTAAGACAAGACCGCAGTGGAGTCTGCCGCACCAACTGGCTCTCCTCTCACAAACATTCTTCTCTGGAGCAGGCGATGCTGTTTGCTAGCATTTTACTCACAGTGGAAATAACTTCCAAAATTGGAGTCAGTCCTCTCAAACCCTGCCGCTAATATTCTAAATCTGTTGTTGTCATTTCAATAATCTTCACCGCCTCTTCACCGGGAGTAGATTCCATCTCAAGACATCACTTCCTTTGCTCATCGGTAAGAAGCAACTCCTCCTCTGTTACAGTTTTATCATGAGCTTGTAGCAATTCAGTCACATCTTCAGGCTCCACTTCTCATTCTAGTTCTCTTGCTGTTCCTACCACATCTGCAGTGACTTTTTCCACTAAAGTCTTGAACCCCTCAAAGTCATCCAGGAAGGCTGGAATCGACTTCTTCCAAACTCTCGTTAACGTTGATATTTTGACCTCTTCCCGTGAATCATGAATGTTTTTAATGGCATAGAGAATGGTGAGTCCTTTCCGGAAGGGATTCAGTTTACTTTGCCAGATCCACGAGAGGAATCACAAATTATGGTAGTGATAGCCTTACAAAATGTATTTTTTAAGTAATAAGACTTGAGAGTTGAAATTACTCCTTGATCCAGGGGCTGCAGAACGGATGTTGTGTTATCAGGCAAGGAAACAACACTGATCTCATTGTATATCATCTCCATCAGAGCTCTTGGGTGACCAGGTTCATTAACCATGAACAGTACTATTTTTATTTTATTTATTTAATTTTTTTTTGCGGTACGCGGGCCTCTCACCGCTGTGGCCTCTCCCGTCGCGCAGCACAGGCTCCGGATGCGCAGGCCCAGTGGCCATGGCCCACGGGCCCAGCCGCTCCGCGGCATGCAGGATCCTCCCGGACCGGGGCACAAACCCGTGTCCCCCGCATCGGCGGGCGGACTCTCAACCACTGCGCCACCAGGGAAGCCCAGCAGTACTATTTTTAAAGGAATCTTTTTTTTCTGAGCAGTAGGTCTCAACAGAGGGCTTAAAATATTCAGTAAGCCATGTTGTAAACAGATGTGTTGTCATCCGGGCTTTGTTGTTCCATTTACAGAGCACAGGCAGAGTAGATTTAGCATTATTCTCATGGGCCCTTGGATTCTGGGAATGGTAGATGAGCACTGACTTCAGCTTAAAGTCGCCAGCTGCATTAGCCCCTAACGAGAGAGTCAGCCTGTCTGTCCTTTGAAGCTTTGAAGCCAGGCACTGACTTCTCCTCTCTGGCTATGAAAGTCCTGGATGGTGTCTTTTGCCTGTAGAGGCTGTTTTGTCTACACAGAAAATCTGTTGCGTAGTGCAGCACCTTCACGAATGGTCTCAGCTAGATCTTCTGGATGACTCGCTGCAGCTTCTCCATCAGCACTTGCTGCCTCACCTGGCCCTTCGACGTCACGAGACGGCTTCTCTCCTTAAACCTCTTCAGCCAACGTCTGTCAGCTTCAGAATTTTCTCCTGCACCTTCCTCGCCTCTCTCAGCCTTCACAGAATTGAAGAGCGTTAGGACCTTGCTCTGGATGAGGCTTTGGCTTAAGGGAACGTTGGGCTGCTCTGGTCTTCTATCCAGGCCACTCGAACTTTCTCCATACCAGCAATAAGGCCGTTTTGCTTCCTTATCATTTGTGCGATCACTGGAGCAGCACTTGTAATCTTCTTCAAGAACTTTTCCTTTGCCTTCACACCTTGGCTAACCAACTTGTTTGGCTGGTACAAGAGGCCTAGCTTTAGGCCTCTCCTGGCTTTCAACATGCCCTCCTCACTAAGCTTCATTTCTAGCTTTTGATTTAAAGTGAGAGGGACTTTCCCTGGTGGCGCAGTGGTTGAGAACCCGCCTGCCAATGCAGGGGACATGGGTTCGAGCCCTGGTCCAGGAAGATCCCACATGCCACTGAGCAACTAAGCCCGTGCGCCACAACTACTGAGCCTGTGCTCTAGAGCCTGTGTGCTGCAACTACTGAAGCTTGCGTGCCTAGAGCCCATGCTCCGCAATGAGATGCCACCGCAATGAGAAACCCGCCCACCGCAACGAAGAGTAGTCCCCGTTCGCCACAACTAGAGAAAGCCCGCATGCAGTAACAAAGACCCAACGCAGACAAAAAACAAATGTGAGAGATGTGTGACTCTTCCTTTCGCTTGAACACTTAGGGGCCATTGTGCGGTTATTAACTAGCCTAACTTCAATACTCAGGGAACAGAGAGGCCTGAGAGGGAGGGAGATGCGGGAACAGCCATTTGGTAGAGCAGTCAGAACACACACACAGTGTTTATCGATTGTTTGCCATCTTATATGGGCACGGTTTGTAGTGCCCCCAAACAACCACAATCATAACCTCAAAGATCACCGATCGTCGTAACAAATATAACAATAATGAAAAAACTTGAAATCCTGGGAGAATTACCAGATACATGAAGTGAGCAATTGCTGTTGGAAAGGTGACGCCTACAGACTTGCTTGATGCAGGGTTGCTACAAACTTTGTGAAAAACACAACTGGCTCAGCGCAAGTGTAAACATAAAGCCCCAGCAGGCCTGGCGTGCTCGCCGCAGGGGCAGCTGGGGCAGCTCTCACTGGGCGGGCAGACGTGATGCTTTCAGGGCACCCGCCTCCACGTGGGTAACTTCCTACCTGTCCCCGCCGTCCCTGCTTTCCTTCCCAGGTGCACTGCCGGCCGACGAGGCATCTCTGGGATGTCCGTCCTTCGAAGCTGGTGATTCCTGAAAAGAGAAGGCAGTGCTGGGTGTGTGACAGGTGCCCCCGCTGGGCTGCTCTGCTTCCCAGCATTCCTGCCTGCAAGTGGCTTTTGCGTGCACGTTCCTAAGGAACTTGAGATGTAAACACGTCAACCGTGACCGCGGTCCATTACAAAGGAAGCACGGGCCCTCTTCAGACTAGCATCTTGCCTCTGGGGAGAGTGAAAAGCACCACTACTTATAACCTTTGTCAGCTGCCGACCTAGAGGAAGCCAGCCCGACCACCTGCTGGAAGAAAGGACCGTCACAGGGGCTACCACTCAGCCAAGCTCCTCGAGGCGCTGCGTGTGCCTTTCTTCACCTGGCCCTGACCAACACCCTACCTGCTGGCCGACATCACCATACCCAGTCACACAAAGAAAAAGAGGCTGTGGGAAGTGAAGGGCCCGGCCCCGGACCCCCCGAGCTGGAAGACTGTGGCCCTGCCCGCTATGCCCTGCAGGTGTGCAGCAGGCCTCCGCCAGCTTCCCAGTCACAGCACGCCCTCAGCACCACAGCTATGCTTCTCAAGGGCCTAGCTGCTCGAGTGCACAAAGGCAACCCCTCCGTCCTCCAGCAGCCTTGCTTCTTCCTAGGAACCTGGGCCCACCCACTCAATGACGACACGGCCCCCCGGCATCCCTGGTCTGCCACCAAGGCCACAACAGAGAACGGGGTGGGGTGGGCGGAGTATGAAGCGTCACGTCCTCATGGAGGACACTGCAGCACCTCACGGGGTCACAGGTGGAGGGAGAGCTCTGGAAGGCCAGCCTGGAATGGACTCCGTGTGCAGAGGCTGAACTGGATGATGGTGGGGGAGGTCACCAGAGGGGACAGGTGAGGTGGGAACACCAGGCGACAAACAGCTTACCTCCCAAGGACGGGGCTGAACCCACTGGAGTGAAAACTCCACAGTGTTCTACAACATGCTAATACCTGAAGTGGAGCTTGCCTCATGTGGATATCTAGGTGCTATGGGGGCCCCCTTAGGGGGCAATCCTAACGAGACTGACCGGGCCCCTCGAACTGACCCCTGAGGAGGACGGAGTCCTCACGGCACCTCCCCTCCAGGGACTCGGCCCCCCACTCGGGATGGTGGGGAGAATTCGTTTCGAAGGTTTTGCAGTTGCTCATGTTTTGCCGCAGCAAAACCTGGAAAGCTGACTGCTTAACAGAACTGCTGTACCTTGACTGTCTGGTGCTGGGAGGGCAGTAAAACAAGGGCAACCACGAGAGGAGGGAGGCCTGGTGGACTCACCAGGTTCCTTGGAAGCAGGGACTGTAGGCCTGGAGCTTGCTGGGTGGGAGGGGGATGTCGGCTTGGAAGGCTCAGTGTGGGAGAGAGGAGTCCCTGCCTCTGGGGGAGGGACAGAAGACGGGCCCCAACGCCAGAAGATGGGGTAGAAAGAAATCCCTGAGAGCAACCGGACACGCGGCCAGGGCCAAGGCCAGGCTGCTCCCGCGATGCCCAGATGGCCCACCGGCCAGGCTGGAGGAGCAGCACGCCGCGGAAGCGAAAGCAAAGGAGGCTCCGCTGGAAGCCCCATCCTCTCCCCGTGGAGCTGACCGGCCCCTGGCTCGGGCAGTGGCTGAGGTCTCACGCAGGATGGCTGCTGGTGACCAGGAGGCTCAGCCAGACAGAAGCAGGGCCCGACCCCTGCCAGGCTAGGCCGCAGGCACAAGGCAGCCCGCTGCTCTGGCCAGAGGCATACAGACTGACGGATTCACCCTCACTGGCGCGTTCGCTCTGGGGGAGACAGGACGAGAGGGAACGCACATGTGACGGCCCCCCGCCACGGGGCTGGCCCTGACCGGAGGAGGGGACGGCGGCAGCGGCGTGCCCGCCGTTCTCCGGGGACGCCTTCCCAGGGTCGGGGAACAAAGCTGCTTCTGCCACCTCCTGCTTCTGTCAGAGGGGACCCACGTTTCCTGCTGGAGCTTCCCCAAAGGCGTCAAGGGCCACTCAGGCTGTCCTGGTGGAGGCGTACACCTCCCCCACTCTGCTGTGCTGGGGCCAAACATGGAGAGAGGAAGGCAACACATCAAGACAGCTCCACGCTGCAGCGCTGGCTGCACGTGCCTGCACTTGCTCTGCCCCACTACCTGTCGCGTCCCCGCCCACGCGCACGGCAGCACTTCCCTGTGCCCGGGTGTAGGGCTGCGGCCCATCTCGCAGCACAGCAGAGGCCCTCCACCCTCAGCACCTCAGCAACTAAACACGCAACTGCCTTCTGAGCTGTCGGAGATCTCTGCACCTTCCTCTAGAAACAACCAATCACACAGAAAACCAGTAGCATTTGCTATCTTATGCTTATGACAACCTGTTGTCTCTAAAGGGTCACTAACCCATTTGTGGAAAATCAGATCCCTAGTTTGATGGGAACTTTGCAGAGAAGGAAACAGACGGGCTACGATTTCACCTGGTGACCTGTGCACCCCTCAGTCCAGCCACGCCGCGACTGGGCCCACGCCAGCAACAGACTTGCCCGCTCGTGAGGGCGGAGGCTTTCTCAGAAGGCGCAGCCCCACGGGGAGGCGTGTGTGTGTGTTGAGTTCTCACCGAAGGCGTCTGGGGCGAGTCAGTGAAAGAGGTTTCGGAAGGAAGGCAGACAGTGTTCCCATGAAAGCTGCTCTCCTGAGAAGATGAAAGAGGCCCGTCCAGGGTGCTGGGAGGCGGACTGGCTATGGTTGGCACCGCTAAGTCAGAGCTCTGAGACTGGTGGACAGGTGGGAAATGTGGAGAGGAAGAGGAGGTAGACGGGAGGAAAGGCTGGATGGAAGCTTGGCTGTGAGGCACGAAGTCCTGGGAGTAGGACCTAAACACAGATTTATACTACAGAGTCAGAGTGGAACACAGACACGAACACGAGAGGATGGGAAGAGGAAAACAGACAAAAGAAAAAGTAATTAGATTAACTCAGCTGAGCCGTGACAGGCCATTCACAGTCATTCTAACCAGGACCACCACTCAGGCCAAACCACCCCCGCGCTCCTCTGGCCTGAGGTCCCCCCACCCTGGCACGGGTCACTTGAGAAGGGCCTGAAGCCTGACCAGTGCTGTCCTCAGTGTCTAAGGGGCAGTGTCTATCCTGTCCTCAGGGGCAGGATGTGGGTACCCCCAAAGGAGAGCAAGCCGCCCCCCACCGTATGGGGGTCCCGTCCTCTTTGTCAGAAAATGAAACCCACGCAACCCCATCTATGCCTCTTGTCCTTCCAGGAACCTGGTGGCTAAATTCAGTGTGTGCAGTCACAGACACCTGGTCATGTTTACTTATTTTGAGCTTTTTGGTTGAATCTCTCTGGTTTTATTCCTTGGAAGTCAAACACTGCAGCCTTTTAAATGTTGTAATCACTTCAAATCCTTTTGGAAGGGAAGGGCATAAGCCTTAAAAAATGGTTGAAAGAACTGTGCTACCAAAATGCTAAAAATTTCTGAATTCATTTCCCTTTCTGCCTAAACTTTCTTCTTTCTTTTTTTAACAAATGAAGTGCAATGCCTCTGACGCCACCTTAGAACCACCAGGCTACGCTCTTCGAGATTCTCATCGTGAGAGAAAAGGCTGAGGTCAGGCTGGGGCGCGACAGCAGATGCCCACAGCTCCTTAGAGCCCGTGAGCGCACTCGGGCCTGGGCTCTGCTGCGGCAGGACAGATGGGCGAGCTTTGGGACAAGAATCCCACAGTGTCATCACGTCGTGCAAAGCGTCTGCCGACACCTGCCAAACGTGGAGGAGATTGAGGCAGGGCCTGAATCTGAAGAGTCCCTGCCAGGCTCACTTCCCACCACAGGTGCTGGAACTTGACAACAGCCCACCCAGCACAAACATGCACACTGCTCACTCAAATGTCCTTTGCATTTTGGTACAGGATTTCTGAAACCCACGGCCAAGGAGGAAGAAGAAATGAAGTTTTAAACTAACCAGAGGTCAAAGCCACTCACATAGCCTTAAGCGTTTTTGCGAGGCTACACGCTTACAGGTTAACTGGACTGAGAGCTGCTGCCACTCAAGGGACAGGCACAGCCTCCCTCTGTCCCCCTGCTGCCCGCCCTGCCCTCCTAGGCTGTGCGGATCAGTCTAGAGCTCCTCCCCTCTCCTTGGTGAGGCCAAGGCCCTCTCACCCCATGAGCCCCACTGGCTGCTGGTTTATATCAGACCCAGGATACTGCCTGGGAACCGACTCGTCTTTACACATTTCATTCCCCATCTAACTCACAAACTCAAGGCTGACCCTTGGACACAGGCAGGTGAATTAGTGGAAGTGCTGTACCGACACCGAAGGCTTAGATTCCTACCGGTTCCGATTCGTCCACATCCCTTCTTTTGAGAGAAGCTGGGGGTGGTGGACCCCCTGGCTCGGCTGCTCTCCCCCTCGAGGGCTGTGGGGCCTGAGCAGCCACAGTGCCCTCCCCCGGCAGGTGCCATGTTTCACCTGGCCTCTCAGGGCAGCCATCCAGGCCTGGCCTTGCTGGGGATGGCAGAGGGGTGACGGGTTTGGCTTTGGGGACTCTCCATTTCACCTGTGGAGGATGCTCCCCTCACAGTGAAGCTCTCTCACTGGCTGGAAAGGTGCGCAGAGAAGACCTTGAGTGAAATGCACCAGCCGAGGGATGGAGGGATGGGACGGCCCGGTCCTGGGAGGCCAGCCTCTTTCGGGCAGTGGCTGAGGTCTCACGCAGGAGCCCGGTCCCCGGGCCTGTGGGATGCTCACTCCCAGCACGCAGGTGCTGCTATGAGATATGCTAACAGATACCTCTCCCTTGGCCATGACTCCATCTAGTTTACGATTCATGCTCAATGCTGCTATGGTCGGGATGTCTGCGTCCCCCCAAATTCTTATGTTGAAATCCTAACCCCCAGGGATGATGGGATCTGTGCCACAGAAAAGAGGCTCCAGGGGGATGCCTCACCCTTCTGCCACGTGAGGACAACGATAAATCTGTGACCAGGAAGAGGGCCCTCACCTAACCATGCTGGCACCCTGATC